GTATTAAACTTTGCAGAGTAAGAAGTTTGCTGCCTTTTATTTTAACAACATAAAGAGCAGGTAAATGCACTGATACTGGAGGAAACTATTTCAATGGAGCTGCCAGATCCCAGCCCACAGGATGACAGAGCTCCAACAACCAGGGCCTCTGCAAATAGCTCCGTCTTCCAAGAGCACATAGCTGGCAGCATTCCTTTCTTCACTAACAATGTGTGAATTAATGATAAGAGAAGGGCAAATGCTGGAAAATCAGATTTTTTCACAAAGCCAGACAGTGCTTCAGATACTTGGACTTAATTGTAAACCCAAACCAAGATGTGAGGAAGTGTCTGGAATGGGAAGAACCCCCCAAAGTTAATGAGACAGCAGATGTGCTGAGTTCCAGAGCACTCAGGTAAGGGTCTCAGGGTGATCTCCAGTTACCTGCCCAGAACCAGCCGGGTCCTTCCCATCTCCCACGTCAGGGAGCTGCTTCCATCAAATCTCCATGTAACAACTGATTTAGGACTAAATATCTTCTCAGCAGTAGGAGAAGGATCTTTAGTGGAGGAAACAGGAGAAGGCTGAAGGTGGATGAGGGCAGGGCCATGCCTGGGCCCCCATCCCTGTCCCTCACCCTTCCTGCACTGCAGCCTCTCTGCAGCAGCCCTGAGCTTCACAATCTCAGCACATGATGGAAAATAAAGTGAGGTGGTCTTGAGCAACACATGTGCAGGTCTTCAGAAGGAGCACACGAACAAGTCCAAGTGAATCTTGTGGCTGGTGATGCCCTGAAGCCAAGGCAGAAGCTGAGGGACTGTGCCACCCCAAATACTGGCAAGACACAGGCAACCATCAGGATGCTGTGGAGAGAATTTACCTTCCTGTGCCCATCTGTGTAACCAAGCCATGGAGTGAGTGCTGGGAGTAGGTGAGATGGTAATCAGGCTGGTACCAGCATTAGGGAACTCCAGCTCTCCAAAAACTGCAACTAGCTGCCTGGAAATATTCCCCTTTCTCTGAGCCCCATCTCTAAATGGAACAGTAGCTCCAAGATGGGACATCTGAGTACTGCCTTTCCTGGATGGCTGAAACACAGTATTTCCTCCTTTAAAAAAAGGAGAAAAACCCCAGCCTAAACAAATACTCCAGACACTGCCTCTCTGCAGGGCCAGAGGGATTTTGTAGTTTGTAAATTGCATTTCATTGGACTCCGTTTGGCTCTGAGTCCAAGTCCCAAAATAAGGTCTTTAACCCCTGTGCTGCTTTATGATCCCATGTCTATAAATAGTTGCCCAGAGCAGGTTTCTCCATTAAGACCCACATCTGCTTCCTCCCCTGGGCTCCAGCACAGGACACTGCTCTGTGAGCAGGGCTCAGTCCCCTGAGGACAAAGCAGCCTTCAGGGCAGTCACAGCCACCCCCCCGGCCACCAGCCATGTGTGACCCGTCCCCAGCCCTGGGACCAAGCTGCTCGTGCTCCAGGGGTGCTCTGCAGAGATGGTGCCAGCTCTGTAATGAAACTGAGCTTCTGCAGACCAGAAATGATGGGCATGAGAACTCGGCAAGGCCAAACCGCTCCCGGGGTGGAACTGTTCAAAGTGCCGCGCTGCAGCTCCTTGGAGCTGAGATGAAGCTGGTTTCTGCAGCCCTGACAGGGTTTACACAACACAGCAGCACCTTCAGGGGACTTGGGCACAGCCTCCATGGCCCCTCACTCAGCATCCTCATCCTCACCCACCCAGACTGCTCACAGAGCTCTGGGACACGACAGAGGCTTCTCAGATGTGTCCCACAGAAGTCTCTGGGCAGAACCCCTATCTGTGAGCTGAGCATCCTTCCCACAGAGCCAGGCTGTGGGAACAGCTTGGGGCTCAGCCCAGGCACCCTGCACACCCTGACCAAGGCGCCCAGGATATGAAACCATGAGTGACAAAGCTGAGTTTCCAACTGGGATGAAAAGCTTTGAAAAGCTCCCAGGTTTTGGATTTTACCAATGCAAGCTGCCAGTCCCAACCAGCACTCCCTGCAGAGGGCTCTTCAAGCATCCAGTATTTGCTGATGAAGAGGGAGCTCCTGCCTCTCCCTGAGGCACCCCCAGACCATTCCCTGGAGCCCATTTACCCCTGCAACAGCAGCACTTCCCTGCTGTCCTGCAGGATGCTTTGGATGTTTGCAAGTCCCATGCTGAAGAACCGAAGGAAGAAAAAGTTAAAGAACCCAAATTTGTATTAACTGAGTAAACTTTACCTTGGCTTTGAGGAGTGCTTTTAGCTTCGTGGGTTATTTTGCTCTGACAAGAAGGGACAGGGTTTGGTGAGAACAGTACACAAGCCCAGAGCCTGCCTGGCCAGCTGGGCCCGCTCCAGCGCTCGCGCCGTGCCAGCCATCGCCTTCTCCCTGCTCTGAGCTTTAACTCTCCACTCAGAATTTAATCTAAACAAGCCCTGTGCCAAACAGAATGCTGTCCCACTCATGCTGCTTTAATTTCCTCAGAAAGAATCCCAGAATACTCTAGGCAAGACATCAACAATAATTAAACCCAACAGTGATTGAAAATCAAATTTTCGGGGCCTCGCAACAAGCTCTAATGAGTTCCAGACTCGCCTTCCCCGACTTGCTCAGACTGGCTGTGTGACACTGCCAAGCTAAATTAAAATTTGACAGTATTCCACACCATGCCCAGAAAAAGTGCCCGTCTTAGGATTCAGGAAATTAAACAGCCGTCTACTGCAGAGACACCCATTTATGTTGGGATGTCGATTATTCAGACACTGATACAGCGTCTGTGTTATTCTTTGTCCTTGTTTTCATTATGTCATTTCGTGTCCCTTTTGAAGTACAAACTAGCTGGCATGTCTTTTTTCATCCTGCAGTGTTCAGGTGACAGGAGACAGGCAGCTGGGCAGCAGAGCTGTGCAGAGCCTGGGCATGCCCCTGCCCACGGCAGCCCTGGGAGGGTCCCAGCAGAACTGCACCCTCACTGCAGTCTGTGCTACTGCCTCTGATTTAAGTGACACTAAAGGTGACATCCTGTCCTTGTCCCTTCCCACAATGGGAGCTGAGCGTCCAGCCACACATTTTGGGAAGTCTCTGATGCTTTCTGCATTCACAAGCCTTTTTGGGGTGCACTGTGAGCCCTCCCTGCTGCGTCCCCTGCAGGTGATGCTGGAGGAGCTCCTGGGAGATGGCTCCAGTGCAGAAACAGCTTCTCCAGGGCTCATCCCACAGCAGGGATTCTCTCAGCCCTCCCTGCTGTCCAAATCCAGCCCTGCTCCTGCGCTCCCCCCGAGGCACCCCCAGCCTGGGGCTGCTGGCAGAGCTCAGAGCCCCCTTCTGACCCGGCTCAGAGCCCCCTTCCCCAGACAAGGAGGGACTGAGCTGCTGCGCCAGGGCCAGCCTGACCACAGCCCCGCACCAGCACACAGCCTCCAGAAAAAGGCTCTGTTTTCACTCCTGTGGATCCATCCCCACACAGTGCCTGGCAAGAGCTTCCTGAGGGCTCCAGCTGCCCCCCCAAGGTGCCCTCCCCACTGCAGCCAGGACCCCAAGGACACTCCTGAGGTGCCAGCAGCAGGACCTGCTGGGAGAGGACATTGCTCTGAGTCTCTGGGGATGGCACACCAGGAGGTCCCACCAAACCCTGACCACTCCTGCCGGGACAGGGCCACCCTGTGGTGCCACACCAGGGGTCCTGCTCCTGTCAGCCATCACTGATTGTCCCCAGGGTGGGCAGCCAACGGGGTCAGCACACAGGGAAGGAAGAATCCTGAGTGCCTCAGTCCCCCCTCAAAGCACCGTGTGTCTGAGGAGAGCAGGGCAGGGGCACGCTGAGGAGCACAGCCCAGCATCTGTGGGTCACCCAGACAGCAGCTCCTGCTGCCAACACCAGCCTGTGCCCAGATACCCTCGCAGAACAGCCAGTTCCCAGTAAAACCGGGTAGAGCTTTCCCTGGCATCCAGCAGTGGCTCAGCTCAAACCCAGCGGGACAGAAGGTGCTACACGTCGGCAGCAGCCAGGCTGCCCTGCCCATCCCCGGGGCCAGCACTGCCAAGGAGCTCCGTGGCAGGGGGAAGCAACCCCGGCAGGGCAGGGTCTGAGTGCCCCCGGGAGATGGGATCACACCAGGCCGACACGGGCTGCTGAACTCATCCCCGAACCACGCGGGGACAAAGGTGCACAGAGGAAGGTCACGGGTGCCATTCCCGTGCCATTCCCAGCTGCTGCCATTCCACACGCTTTGATCGGGCAGCCAGAATGCCTTCCTAGAGCCCAGTGCCATGGCAGCAGGACACTGCGGGAAGGGCCGGCATTTCTTGGAGCAAACACTCTCCAGAGGGTCTGGAAGGGGACAAGCGACTCCCTCCCTCCTTCCGAGAGCAGCTCAGCACAGCAGTGCCGCACTCGAGTTCATTGAGGCAGCAAACAGCGGCTTTGCCAGCAGAAGCTTCGCTGGGCTGATTTTTGCCCTGAAATAAGCACCAAGCGGGCACAGAGCGGCTCTGGGGGCGGCGGGCACGGCTCAGGTGTCCCTGGAAGGGCAGGGAGGAGGGCAGACCGGGAGCCACGGGGTCTGAGCCCGCACTCTGCCCGGCCTCACCCCTGGAGATGAGGGACACCGGGAAAAGAGCCCCGGCCCCCGGAGCCGTGCGCTGCCCGGGCACACCCGCTCTGTCCGGGGCACCGCCGGGCACGGGGATCGCTCCGCCGTGCCCGGGCTGTCCCGGGACACGGATCGGGATCGCTCCGCCGTGCCCGGGCTGTCCCGGGACAGGGATCGGGATCATTGCCGGTGTCCCCCGGGCTGTTCCGGGACACAGATCGGGATCCTCCGCTGTGCCCGGACTGTCCCGGAACAGGGATCGGGATCCTCCGCTGTGCCCGGGCTGTCCCGGGACACGGATCGGGATCATTCTCGCTCTCCCGGCACGGAGATCGTTCCCGCTGTCCCGGGGCCGTCCCGGCGCGGGGATCGGGATGGTTCCCGGGGCCGTCCCTCACGCTGTCTCCCCTCACTCACCTCCGCTCCGCTCGCGCCGCCGCCGCCACCGCTCGCGCTGCCCGAGCGCCGCCTTTCATTGGCGCGCGCGGCGGCCGCGCGCCGCTCTCAGCCAATCCGACACCGCCTCGAAACTTTCCTGGCCAATGGCGCGCGGGGGAGCGCGCGGGGGGGGCGTGCCCGCGGCGGGGAAAGCGGGACCGGGACGAGAGGGACGGGGACGGGGACAGGGACAGGGACAGGGACAGGGAAAATGGCCTAAACGTGGCCACAGGGAGATGGGACACTGCAGAGGAATTGTTCCCTGGCAGGGTGGGCAGCCCTGGCACAGGTGCCCAGAGCAGCTGGGGCTGCCCCTGGATCCCTGGCAGTGCCCAAGGCCAGGCTGGACAGGGCTTGGAATAAGCTGGGATAGTGGAAGGTGTCCCTGCCCACGCCAGGGAGGATGGCACTGAGTAAAGGTCATCCTTTTCAATAATCAAACCATTCTGGGATTCTGTGCTCGACAGCACAGTCCCTGGGGTGTGAAAAAGAGGGCAAAAAAGGATGGAATTGGTAAACGTTCCTGCCCCAAAGCAGCAGTGCCAGACAGGGGTGTGAGCAGGGATGGCGCTGCTCAGTCCCTCTGTCCCGCAGTCCCTCTGTCCCTCAGTCCCTCAGTCCCTCTGTCCCGCAGTCCCTCAGTCCCTCTGTCCCTCTGTCCCTCTGTCCCTCTGTCCCTCTGTCCCACAGTCCCTCTGTCCCTCTCTCCCGCAGTCCCTCTGTCCCACAGTCCCTCTGTCCCTCTGTCCCTCTGCCCTGCAGTCCCTCTGTCCCTCTGTCCTGCAGTCCCTCTGTCCCTCTGTTCCACCTCCTCCCACCCCAGGCATGGCCGACACGGAGCTCAGGGAAATGGATTTCCAAATCAGACAGGAATGTGCAGGGGCAGTTTATCACAGCAGACAGCCACGGAATGTTTTTAGCAGAAGAAACTGTCCAAAGCCATGTTTCTCTTTTTATTTCAATGGATGTTGAGAACTGAATGACAATCTATTGCCTTTTGTATTTTGTTTTTTTTTTTTTAAACATGGGCTGGTGAGGTCTTTACTGCTTCAGCAAACATTCCTGCCTGCTCCAACAAACATTCCTGCCTGCTCCAACAAACATTCCTGCCTGCCCCTGCTGAGGCCAGGAGGTCCAGCACAAAGCCCCTTTGTGCAGGTGAGGGAGCCAGGGCTCCACGTGCTCCCAGCTCCTCCCCTGGCTCCCCAGCTCCACTGACCCCAGCCGTTCTCCTTCTTCAGTGTGCCTGACTCCAGGAAAACCCTGAAACAACAGAAACCAGGATCCAGCTGCCTGCTGTGGTCTGTGACCCAGGAGCACAAGCCCAGCTCGGAGCCGAGCTGGCTCCTCAGAGCTGCAATCTGAAACAAAAATCCTGAACTCTCGTTGGTTTAATTTCTCCCTTGCTGGTTTAATTTCTCCCTTGTCGGTTTAATTTCTCCCTTGCTGGTACATTTTTTCTGAAACTTCTCAGAGCATTCCTGCAGAGAAGGGGGACAGGGAGACCGACATCCCAGGGTCATTTGGAGCTGGAGATGCTTTTCCAAATGAAGGAGCAGAGCTCCCAGCAGCCCTGTGGAAGGGAAATGAGTGCCCAGCAGCAAAAGGCAGCAGCGCACTGGCAGGAGAGGGGAGCAGCCCTGGGGTGCTGAGCCCGTGCCCAGGCACGCTCTGCTGCCAGCAGAAGAGCAGGGCTTGCTGCTGCTGCAGCTCTGCTGCGGGGCCTGGGTCCTTGCAGGGCCAGCTGGGTCAGTGAGCTCGCCACTCAGCCTCGGGATCCCCTGGGGACAGCAGTGCCACCATCCCACGGCTCCCCTCGGGCACTGCTGGGGGCTCCCCTTGGGCACAGGGCACGGGATGGAGCGGGCAGTGCATCTGGGATTCCACAGTGCCCCCAGGATCCCACAGTGCCCCCAGGATTCCACAGTGCCTCTAGGAGCAGAGCTCCCAGCAGCCCTGTGGAAGGGAAATGAGTGCCCAGCAGCAAAAGGCAGCAGCGCACTGGCAGGAGAGGGGAGCAGCCCTGGGGTGCTGAGCCCGTGCCCAGGCACGCTCTGCTGCCAGCAGAAGAGCAGGGCTTGCTGCTGCTCCAGCTCTGCTGCGGGGCCTGGGTCCTTGCAGGGCCAGCTGGGTCAGTGAGCTCGCCACTCAGCCTCGGGATCCCCTGGGGACAGCAGTGCCACCATCCCACGGCTCCCCTCGGGCACGGGGCACGGGATGGAGCAGGCAGTGCCTCCAGGATCCCACAGTGCCCCCGGGATCCCACAGTGCCTCTGGGATCTGGCTGTCCCTCCAGAATCTGGCTGTGCCTCTGGGATCCAGCAGTACCTCTGGGATCTCATAGTGCCTCCAGGATCTGTCTGTCCCTCCAGGTTCCCTCTGTCCATCCAGGATCCCTCTGTCCCGCCAGGATCGGTCTGTCCCTCTGGGATCCATCTGTCCCTCTGGGTTCCCTCTGTCCCTCCGGGATCTGTCTGTCCCTCCAGGATCCCTCTGTCCATCCGGGATCCCTCTGTCCCTCTGGGATCCGTCTGTCCCTCTGGGTTCCCTCCATCCCTCCAGGTTCCCTCTGTCCCCCCAGGATCCCTCTGTCCCTCCAGGATCCCTCTGTCCCTCTGGGATCTGTCTGTCCCTCCAGGTTCCCTCTGTCCCTCCAGGATCCCACAGTGCCCCCAGGATCCCACAGTGCCTCTGGGATCTGGCTGTCCCTCCAGAATCTGGCTGTGCCTCTGGGATCCAGCAGTACCGACCCAGGATCCCACAGTGCCCCCAGGATTCCACAGTGCCTCTGGGATCCCACAGTGCCCCCGGGATCCCACAGTGCCCCCGGGATCCCACAGTGCCTCCGGGATCCCACAGTGCCCCCGGGATCCCACAGTGCCCCCGGGATCCCACAGTGCCTCCAGGATCCCACAGTGCCCCCGGGATCCCACAGTGCCCCCAGGATCCCACAGTGCCTCTGGGATCTGGCTGTCCCTCCAGAATCTGGCTGTGCCTCTGGGATCCAGCAGTACCTCTGGGATCTCATAGTGCCTCCAGGATCTGTCTGTCCCTCCAGGTTCCCTCTGTCCATCCAGGATCCCTCTGTCCCGCCAGGATCGGTCTGTCCCTCTGGGATCCATCTGTCCCTCTGGGTTCCCTCTGTCCCTCCGGGATCTGTCTGTCCCTCCAGGATCCCTCTGTCCATCCGGGATCCCTCTGTCCCTCTGGGATCCGTCTGTCCCTCCAGGTTCCCTCTGTCCCCCCGGGATCCCTCTGTCCCCCCAGGATCCCTCTGTCCCCCCACATCCAGCCCTGGGAGCAGGGTTTGTCCCCTTCAGGAGGGAAGGGGAAGGAGCACGGGAGGCGGCACTGGCTGGGAGCAGCAGAAAGGCCAAAGGCCCTGGGGCTGGCAGCCCCTCTGCACAGCAGGAATGTGCCCTGGGTGAATGTCTGAACACTGCTACAAGAGGTATTTGAACATCCGCACAAAATTCTGGGTAGAACAGCGATGGCAGAAGAGGAATTCTGGAGGGATAAAGTCCCTGCAGGGAGGGCGTTTGAACCTGACCTTCCAGAGGCGTTTTGGGAGTGAGCACAGAGAACAAACAGCACAGGGATATTGTTTTTCAGCCCTCATGAAGGGCTTGGCAGCCGCGGGAAAGGTTTGGCATGGCAATGGGGTGACACGATCTCCCTTTCCCAGGGCACACACGCACGTGGACAGAGGAAAGCACTCCCCCGGGACTGCAGGGGCCCAGGCACAGCTGACAGGAGCAGCGGCACTGCCGGGCTGCCAGCACCCCAGGGACCCCGGCACGGCTCCCCTCGCTCTGCCAGCCTCACAGGGAACCCAGCTCACGCTCGGACAGGCGTGGAGGGAGCGTGTTCCGTGTGTGGGGGGATCCACCTAGCAGGGAGGTGTTAGAGGTGACAGTGACAGCTTTGGGTGGGCATTTGTGGTTGTTTTTGTTTCAAGCAGCAGTTGCAAAGCTCCGGGTGCTGAGCAGGACTGGGCACTCCCTGTGCAGCCGAGGCTTTCCAGCAGCACAAACCCAGCACCACAACAAGAGTTAAACCCTTCTGGATGCTTCCTTGTGCAATAAAAATACACCTGGAGCAGCTGTAATGGATGCTAGCACAAAGAAATCATGGGCACTGACAGTGGCACAGAGCAGAGTGAGAAGGGCACCAGGGCAGGTCAGCCCCCCGTGCAGAACCTGCTGGGGCTCTCTGGGATGGAGCCACAGCCAAGGTGCACTCCAGGAAAGGTGCACTCCAGGAAAGGTGCAGGGCAGGAAAGGTGCGCTGCGGGCGGCTCCAGAGCAGCCGGGCCGGGCCGGGCTGGCCGCCAGCAGGGGATCACTGCTGTGGGCAGGCTGGGCTATACTTAGCTCAGTGCTAGGAAGAGACAGAATCATCCTGTGACTAAACACAGCCGAGCCCTGCGGGAGCCGCCCCCGACGGGCGAGGATGCTCACTTACCAGAACCGGGATTTAGCTTCCCGCTGGTTCACTTCCATCAGCACAAAGCTGTCCCGGCAGACGTGTCACCGCTGTGCCACCACGTGCCACACCGCTCAGGTGCCCGGGCTGTGCCGGGCTCTGGGGGCAGCAGCCTGGCCGGTTTCTGCTGGCACAGCAGCGGTGATGCCCGGTGCTGCTGGGTGATACCGGGGTGCGGCAGGCTGCCCTGCTCCCCTGAGCTCTCTGCCGGGCCCTCGGGCTCGGGGGGTCGTGGAGACCCCGGGACAGGGAGGGAAGGAGCTGAGGGGTCACCCGGCAGCCCCAGGGCCGCGGTTCTCAGCTCCTGGAGCCCCAGGTGTCTCCTGGCCAGGCTGGCACTGGGCTCCCCTGGCTGGCACCGGCGAGGCTCTGGGGCAGCAGGCTGGGGAGCCCGGAGGACAGACAGAGTGGGGGGCACTGAAAGAGATTCTTAAGGATTTTGTGATTTCCTCAGGAATCCCACGTGCAGGAAGGGCCAAACCTCTGCCTGGAATCGAGGCTGCCCTGCTTTGCTGTGAAGAATAAAAGGGGATGAGGGC